GCGCCGGCTCCCCCGCTTCCCCTCCTCCTCCTCCCCCTCCCCCTCCTCATCCTCCACATCCTCCCCCGCCCCCTCCTCCCCTCCTCCTCCTCCCCTCCTCCTCCCCTTCCTCCCCTCCTCCCCTCCTCCTCCTCCCCCTCCCCCTCCCCTCCTCCTCCTCCCCCGCCCCCTCATCCTCCGCCTCCTCCTACCTCGGTGGGGAAGCGTCAGGGGCAACGTATGGGGGGAGATGCAGGGTCCATCCCGACCCGATCGATCCGATGCGACGTCGGCTCCGGCGGGCCCGAGCCCGCTTCGACCCCGGCCGTCTCCAAGAGGGCCCCAAGGGGCCCTTGTGGGGCCCTCTGCTCCGCACCCCGTTCGGGCCACGCCCCTCGCCGCCCCGCCCGAGGGGGGGGGGCAGGTCGGTCCTCCGGGGGCCCGCGCCACCCACGGCAGCGACGGCGTCGGAGCTCGAGCGCGACGTGCTGGCGGCCTGCTGCGGCCCGCTGCCTGCACACGGCGCTGCTGCGCCTCCTGCCGCGGCCCGTCGGGCTCGCTTCCGATGCCGCGCCGAGGCGAGCCGGCTCGACGCACGCTCCGATGCGGTGCGAGTGCCCGACCGGATCTTGCAGGAGGGAGAGAAACACACAGACACAGTTCACCGGCGATTCCCCCGAAAATATGTGGGAAAATATGGGAATTGGGGGGGAAGACAAAAACCTAGAAAAGATGGGAAGATAATCATGGGAAACATTTTTATTTGTGTGTATTTATTTGTGTGTCCCAGGGCCCCTTCAATCTTGCGTGGTCCCGGGAGAGGCTCGGGGGGGGAGGCGTCGGTCCCCGACCGCCCATGCGGCGCCGGCAAGTCGGGCAGACCGGGAGCCTCTCGGCCTGCCCAGGAGCAGGCAGTTCCACCCTCGGGGCACGTCGCCGATCTACAGTCGGGGCCCTGAAGAAGGAACCCTTTTGGTTGGGGAGGGGCTCCGCGTTCCGTAAGTGTTTCACAGCATGCCTCAGGTGTTCCTCATTTCTTCGATCGGAAATCGAAGTTTAACTTATGGAAAGAAGGGGCCTCGTTCCTTATTTAGGGTTCTTTGGGTCAACGCCCCGACTGTACCGGCGATGCAGTCGATGTTCCCCCCCCCTCGCCGCACCCCGTTGAGTGGGTCCCCCCTTGACGCTCCTCTTCGTCCGGTCAATGGAGAGGAAGCATGATGCCCCAAAGCGTGTAAAAAACATGTGAAACATGTGTACAACATGGTTTAAACATGTTCGTGACATGTTCCGACATTTCAAACACATGTTGAATTCGATGCTAGGACTGTTAGGGTGTCCAGTATCGTGGCATCCACAAGCCCATGCCACACTGGCAACAATTGGGGGGCGCCTTCGTCGCCCTCGGGGCTCATTGGACTCAACGCCCCTCTGGAGAGACCGTCCCCGAGGAGGATGTCCGCGCAAGGCATTCATTCATTACTCAGGAGGAAAAGAAACACACAGACACAATTAATCTTCGATTCCCCAGAAAATATGGGAAAATATGGGAAGTGGGGGGGAAGACAGAAACCCAGAAAATATGGGAACATATGAGGAATTCTTTTATTTGTGTGTATTTATGTGTATGTCCCAGGGCCCCTTTAATTACACCATGCCTGGGTCCTGGAATAGTGTTTTAGCCGAGCATTTCCTTTCGAGGGCAAAGGGTGAAATCTGATGTGCCGTTTCGATGGATTTCTGGGGCTCGAATCTGCAACAGATGCATCACAAGACGGATTGCTTTTCGAGGTGTGAAAGCCCCCTAAGAACATGCTCAGTCTACGCCCTCCCAGCCTCGGCCAGGAGGCCGTATTCACCGTACCTCACCACCCACCAAACCACCCCAACCCAACCCGACGTCTCAGATGTACCCTCGATTTCCAGTGGGTGAAGGGGGGGGTCGGGAAACATCGACAAAAACACACATGTGGAACCTTTACCCCCCCCAACCCGAAATGCGGGTCTTCGGGCTGGGTCGGGGTGGTCCTGGTAGGCAGTCCGTACCAGGGCCCAGGGATGGCACCAGCTGGGCACGGCGGCGGTGTATGATCAGGAGCGACAGAAGGACGTACATGTACATGAATCCACGCTGTTTTCGAGATTTCGCATTGCGCTAATACGCGTATCACGCGGCCAGTCTCGCGGGTCAAGGGGCCGTGTTCATGTACGGCAGGTTCGTGCCGTGTCGACCTGGGCGTTGGTCCCTGACGCCGCGAGGATCGTTCAACCTTGAACGATCGGCCATTTCCGTAACGTCCGATCGTTCAACATCGACCGATTCTGGGATTCCGCCGGCATTCAATTTTTGAACGCCGGCGTCGGGGTCGCCGCCGGTCGACACGACGCGAACCTACCGTACATAGCTGGGCGCGTACGTCCTCTGTGGGCTCCCTATATGAGTGCCTCCCGCGTGCGGAGCGGCACCGCGCCGCGCGGACGCGGCGCGGGCACCCGCGCGGCTGCTGCACCGTTGGAAGGCCGGTGGAGCGCCATCGGCGCCCGGAGCTCGGCCACCACCGGACGAGCCTCGCTGCGTCAGATAATCTGGTGGACCCAAGAGTCAAGAGGGAAAGAAACACACAGACACAATTAATCGTCGAGTCCCAGGAAAACATGGAAAAATATGGGAAGTGGGGGGGAAGACAAAAACCCAGAAAATATGGGAAAATATGGGGAATGTTTTTATTTGTGTGTATTTATTTGTGTGTCCTGGGGCCCCTTCAAAAAGGGGGTCCAGCGACAAGGGGGTGGTGCCATAGATTGGAGAGGCCTGACGGCCGGTGCCGCCGACCCTGATCGAAAGGGCTAGGGGTGGGGGGAGGAAGCGGAGGAGGAGGAGAAGGAGGAGGAGGAGGAGAAGGAGCAGGAGGAGGAGGAGGAGGAGCAGGAGGAGGAGGAGGAGGAGGAGGAGGAGGAGGAGGAGGACCCAGAGGGGTCCAGCGACAAGGGGGTGGTGCAATAGATTTGGTGCAGTAGGTTGTTGGGGTTGCACTGGACTTGGGGCGTGCAATACATTCCGGGGCGCAGATGTATTGATGGGGTTTCTTGTGCAATGCATTCGTTGCAACACAATGCAATAGAATTCTCTGGCGCAGTAATACATTTGCAAAACAATTGCCCCAAACCTATTGCACCACCCCCTTTCAGCTGGACCCCCTGTTGGGTCACCCAAACTGAAACCAACGCCTGCGCCTCGGGTGTTGTCAGACATGTCCCTGGCCCAAGATGTCCCCAGGATGCCCAGGGAGGCCCTCGCGGTGCTCTCCTAGAGCACCCCATCACGAGGCCCAGAGGGCCAGGGGGCTCCAGAGTGGAGCGACGAGCTGGCGGCACCCTCTGGGTGGGGCCAGGGAAGACTCGCCCCAGAGCACTCTGGAACGCTCTCGGAGCGGTCTGCAACGTTCTTAGAAGGCCGCGCCTGACATCGCTCGGACGTGTGCATGTTTTCCTTCGGCGAGAACCATCGAGGAGCATCCTCGATCATTTGGCAAAAAAACCACGCACGAAACCGAAAAAAGCACAGGAAATGGACGTCCGAGCGATGGCCAGCGCGGCGCCCGACACATCCTCCAGATTCGCCGGATCTCAGAGGACCCCGATGTGTCCTGGTCCGATGGGGAAGGCCTTATATACGGCCGGCGCCGCCGATCCGGAAGGGAGACGGCGGCCACGACGGCCGCTTCGGCGGCGACGACGACGCTGACGTGGGGCAGAGTCCTCAGTGATGCTTCGTGGGGCCTCTTCTCGGGGTTGGACAGACCTCCTACCCTGACAAGTCGATTGAGGAATTGACCGTTTTCGGTTTGCGAGGGGGCGTCGCGGCCGTCGTTTTTGCGGGTCCAGGTCCGTCGGATTCGGTCCCAGGCCGTTTTCACTAAGGGGAGGTTTACTAAAGGGAGGTTTGTCCACCGCCGATCTTCGGAGCGCGCTCGTAGGCCTCTGGGGGATTTGTCCTGGTCCGATGCTGTCCTGTCCTGGCTTCGTCTCAGCCGTGGACCTGGGGCACGATCAGCAGCCCCTGAGCGCCGTCGCGACGTTGGCCTGCCGCGGGTGCCGCCTGCGGAAGCTGCGGCCACCACCACCGCTCAGGCCCAAGCCTCGGTACGGTCGAAATGGGTACCGAAAGAGCGGGCACGAAGACTAAATACCAGCATGTCTTGTCCATTTTGAACAGGACTCGCTGTCCGCGCCGCCGCGGACGTTGTCCATGTGAGACAGAAGGCCGCCTGCCCAACAGCGGCCGCTGATGGTTTTAGACAGCATTTGCTGCTTGGCCATTGTAATTACCAATGTTTGTACGCAGCCACCTCTGGCGTCCAACAAGTTACACGTCCAGCAGGAGGCGCTGGCACGACAACGGGGTGAGGCCGCCGGATGAATCCATGTCGATCCTCTGCTCTTTCCGAGAGAAGAGGAGCGAAGTGAAAGAGCATAGTAATCGCCACGCGAGGAGGATGCCCAGGCGTGTTGAGGCAGCTTGTGCACTTCCGCAGACCACTGTTGTCTTGGCCGGCCGCGGCCGCGGCAGGCTGCGGCCGTGCGCCCCGAACGTCGCCGCGACGTGCAGTCCGACGGGAGGGGGATGGCGAATGCCGATCGAGGAGGAGGAGGAGGAGGAGGAGGAGGAGGATGAGGAGGAGGAGGGAGGGGGGGGGGGGGAGGGGCGCGGGGGGGGGGGCGGGGGGCTGAGGGAGGGGGGGATGGGCGGAGGAGGAAAAGAAGCGGGGATGGAGGGGAGAGGGAGGGAGAGGAGAGGAGGAAGGAGGAGGAGAGGGAGGAGAGGAGAGGAGGAGGAGGAGGAGGAGGAGGAGGAGGAGGAGGAGGAGGAGGAGGAGGAGGAGGAAGGGTTCCAGGATCGAGGACCGCGGAGCGCTCGGGGCTCCACCCCCGAGCGAGGACCGCGGCTCGAAGGCCGAGGGCTCTCGAGAGCCTGCCGAACGGGGCCGAAGCGGGCGCCCGAAGGGCGGCCCCCACCCGGCAGCGCGGGGCCCGAGGCCGGCAGGCGGCCCCCCGCAGTTCGGCTTAAGTCGGGCCTGTCCCCCCACAGGGGGGTTTTCGACGAACAATAATACAAGAATATACCCCAAATAGTCCAAAAATAGTCTGGGGACTATTTTGTTATTTTTTTGGGGACCTTTTTGGAGTATTTTTGGTGTGTTTTGTATGTTTCGTCGACAATCCCCCTGTAGGGTGATTTTGTATTTTTCGTCTGGGGACCGTCGGCGAAAAATTATTTGTTTTTATATAAAAAAAACACCCCAAGAAGGTCAAAACTAATACTCGAAGAATAGTCCCCGGGCTATTTTTCGACTAGTGTTTGACTATTTTGGGGGGTATTTTTTGTGTTCGTCGACAATCCCCCTGTAGGGGGACGGGCCCGACTGAAAGCTTCGCGCGCGCGCTCGCGCGCGCGGCGATGCCCGCGCGCCCGCGGGGTGCGCCGGTGCTGCGGCTGGCTGCCTGGGCTCCGGCGGCCCCCCCGCGCGGGGAGGGGGTCGGGCATTGCGTTGTTCTCGGAGGTCCTGACGGGCGTTTTCGCTCAATTTCAAGCCCCGGGACCCTCACAGATCGATCCGGCTCGAAAAATGACGCAGAAAGATGCGGTCCGGGGCTCTGGGCGTGATTTTGTGCGATGTTTTTTTTTTTTTTGCAACGTGGGGTCTCAGGGATTCTCGGAGGTTGATAGATCTCCTACCTTGACACGTCGATGAGCGAATTGGCCGTTTTCGGTTCGCGAGGGGGCGTCGCGGCCGTCTGTCTTGCGGGTCCAGGTGCGTCGGTTTTGGTCCCAGGCCGTTTTCACGAAAGGAAGGTTTACTGAAGGGAGGTTTGTCCACCGCCAATATTCGGGGGTTCGATGGGCGGGGGGTGAAGCAGGGTGCACTTTTGTCGTGCACCCCGGGTGCGCCAGAGAAGGGCCGCCCGGGGCCCCAGAGAAGCACGAGCGGTGCACGTGGCTTCGCCCCCGCAGTGCTCGGCCTCCCCCAGGGAGCGACGCCCACGTGGGGGTCGGTCCGAGGAGGAGGTTCGTCAGGAGGGAGAACAACACACAGACACAATTAATCCTCGATTCCCAGGAAAATATGGGAAAATATGGGAATTGGGGGGGAAGACAAAAACCCAGAAAATATGGGAAAATATGGAGACTATTTTTATTTGTGTGTATTTATTTGTGTGTCCTAATTTCCCTTTAGTTCGGGGAGCCGTGAGACTCGAGTTCGCCGGGTCTCGGGTGTGGAGGCGCTCTTTTGATCGGCGCGCCCTGGGATTTGACGGTCCAGATGCTGCGGGATGTCTGCAGCGGTAGCGCGCGTCAAACTTCAGTGGGCCTCGTCATTTTTGGGGCGGCGCCGTCTGATGAACCAGAGTCCCCCGAACCCGAGACGACGGTAGTTGTCGAGGAACAGCAAACTGCGTAAATGTAAGCTTTCGGAGATCCGCGCGGATTTCTTGGATCGGCATTGGACACCCCTTGGCAGCGCCTCTGGCGTTGTGCCTGGCGTGCTTCGCGCGCCAGGGATGTGGGCCCAGCGCAGATCAAAGAAATCCGCGCGGATTACCGAAATTTGATGTTCCTTGCCGTTTTTTGTTCCTCCAAGGTGGCCTTGGGGGAGCCCTCGTCGTCACGGATGGACGCAGCTCGGAAAATTGATGCGCTTGGATCCCAGGAAGGGTCCAGGGACCGATTTTGAGCTGCCACTGAAGGGAAAACGTACCGAACTGCTTCGCTTCCTTCGTGTTTGCCTTTCAGGGCCTCCTGAGAAGCCCTCGTTGCAAACGGCTGGATTCGCCTCGAGACTCCTGGTGAGAACGCACATAGGGATAGGTCCAGGGAGCAGCGGTGTCGGTACCGCTTGTCTCCAGTCAGGATCTCGCATGCAAGGACATGGATCATCCAAGACATCTCGGTGGCGAGCCCAGGAGGAAAGTGAGAGGGCCGAGGGGGCAGGCATTCTCAAGAAGGCGGCGGGGGCTCTCAGATGTCCCCGCCCCTACGGTGGCGCCGTCCGTGGCTTCGGATAGGAAGGCGCGAGGGCCTCGGAGAAGCCCCGCCGCACCCTGAGCAGGTCCGCCTCCTCTCACTCCACCCCGTGTGAGAGCCGCCGAACATGGGCACGCCCGAGAAATTTGCAGCCGCAGGCCGAGACACTCTTCCACTGCACGCCAGTCGTTGAAAGTACGTATTTTTGGATCCCCAGATCCTGGTCTACTTCAAGCGCCTTCCTACTTCAAGAATCGGCATGCTTTGGCTGTGTGTTCTTCTTCTGTGGGGGGGTCTGGGCCCAATCTACTGTTTCCGGCTTCCTACTTCATGCTTCTACCTATTTCTTCCGACCGACGTGTATTCGTTCTCTCCAGGTGAACTGTTCACAGTCAGTCCACGTTAGCAATGTTCTGGTTTAGGGTCTCTGGAAGGGGATGTCCGATCCCTCCTACAGGCTTGGCGGTTCTTCTCCGATCGGCATGCGGGGGCGAGGATCGATTATTGTCTTTCTTCGACGCTAATCCAAGCACGCTTGCGCAACCTTGTATGTATCTAATCTGGAGAGATCGGGGCATCTTTCTAGCGAGAGTCGAAGGACAGCAGAAGTCGCTAACCCCTTAACGAGCTTCGGCGAGATTTTCGCGCTCTCCTCCGCAGAAGGCACCTACACACCACCATCATACCCGGCCACTGCTACCGCTCGGCCATGGGATGGTGTGTGTGTAGATTGCCCGGACGTGTGTCGGGCCGGGCGAAAGGGGGGGATTGGGAAAGGGGGGGTTACGAAATTTGCTGCATGCAGCTGATTTCGGCCTCACCGAGGGGCCCATTCCTCGATACATGGGCGCCTCCCGGCGCCGGGAGGCGCCGGGAAAATCAGCTACGTGAGCTGATTCTCAAACCCCCCCTTTGCTATCCCCCCCTTTCGCCCGACCCGAGTGTGGAGTCCGACTTCATCTCATCGACAGGAGCCCAGCACCCGAATGAGATGGCCAAGACACCTGCCAACACGACACCAACCGACATCAACGCCGGAACCAACTCCAGCAGGGATGCACAGTGGTGTTGTCTGGCTTCTGATTTCCCCGGCACGTGTACGCATAGAGATGTTACGACCTCCACGCTCCGGCCCAAGGGGGCAAGGACCATATCCTAATGAGAGTGCGAATACGAATGCGAATGCGAAATATAGAGATAACACAAGATCAGAGCCCCGAATCATCAGGGGTAACTCGGGTCAGGGATAACTCGGGTTCGCTTTTTCGGGAACCCGAACCCGAGTTACCCCGGACCCGAGTTACCCCGGATACTTCGGGCGTCCAGAGCCCCGAATCATCAGGGGTAACTCGGGTCAGGGATAACTCGGGCTCCTTTTTCGGGAATCCAAGCCCGAGTTACCCCGGACCCGAGTTACCCCGGATACTTCGGGCGCCCAACATATCCTAATGAGAGTGCGAATACGAATGCGAATGCGAAATATAGAGATAACACAAGAGGCGCCACCAATACAGCAGTCTAGGAAGAGCTTGCAGCCTGGAGCAGCCAGAGTGGGCCGCCGAATAATACAGTGCAAGTTGCAATGGAAATGTGCTGGATGTGGGCGCGTTTGTGTGTGTATTTGCTTTATGTGTTGTGTGCGAGTATGTGGTTACACTATTTGCACTCTATTGTCGCTGCGCTGCTGCCACTTGTACACTTGTATGTCTTGTGAGCGAAGTGTGCGAATGTGATAGTAGCATGCGCGGCTTTGTCGCACCCATACCTCATCGTAAACATTAATGGGGATCCATCGGAGGGGTATGTGCCGACATTCTGCGCGGTAGTGCACTGAGGAGTTGAGGCCGGATGGTACGATTGACCTCGTATTTCCAATCCAGAATTCATGTACGGTCAAAGTGTTTGTCCTTACCAGATGGCGCTGGCGATGCGGCAAGCGGCCGTCATGTTCATTTCCCCCGCCACCAGAGGCCCTTTTCTCTTTGCTTGAGGGCTGGAGTCACATGAATCGTAAATGACACGCGTTGGTTGTCTATGAGCTTGGCACACATGAGTTCGCGCACACGCCCTCTCCACTGATCTACATCAGAGTGAGGGGACTGAACCGAACGGTCATTCACTGTCCCTGGGTGCGTGGCTGAAGTGGAATTCCGCGATGCGGATTTTTGTTGTTTGTTGTTTGTTGTTTGTTGTTGTCGTCGTCCCACCCGCGACCCGCCCCGCGACCCACTCGCGACCCGCCCCGCGACCCACCGGCGACCCACACGCGACCCACCCCGCGACCCACCCGCGACCCACCCCGCGCTCTCTGTCTCTCTTTCTCTCTCTCCCTCCCTCCCTCTGTTTGGTTCTCTTTCTCTCTCTCTCTCTCTCGCTCTCTATCTAGTTGAATTAGAACGCGGAGTACTTGAATACATAGAAAGCCGATCCGTGACAGCCCCAGGTGTGGCCAGGGAGGCTGGTTCCGGAGCGCCCCAGGAGGGCCCAAGACGACCCCAGATGGCGCCAAGACGACCCTAGAGGGCCCCAGGTGGCCTCAGGAGGGCCCGACGAGCACCCCAATATTGCCACGATGGGTCCAGATTGCCCACGATAGGCCCAAGATGGCCACTCGACGGCCCAACGGGCCCCTCAAAGAGGCCCCTCGGAGGCACACGTTGTGGGCTTCCCTGAGACGACCGAAGAGGCCCAGTAGGCTGAATTCGGGCCTGTCCCTCTACAGAGGGAATAGTAAAAAATAGCCAAAGAAGAGTCTGCAAAGATGCTGAAACCAAGGAGACATAACGTTCACGTGGGTGGGGGAGATGGCGGCGGAAAATGAGAATCGAGAGGAGTAGGTTTAGGAGTATTGAATAAGAGGGGGATGAAAGATGAATGATGGGAAGAGAGAGAGAGAGAGCGAGAGAGACAGAGAGAGAGAGAGAGAAACAAAAAAAGGGGGAGAGAAAGAGAGAGAGAAAGAGAGAAAGAGAAAGAACATTAGAGAAAGAGGAGCACAGAAAACAATGGAGGAGATGATAATTGGGAGGAGGGGGAGAGGGCAATGAACAGAAGGATGGTGATAAGCATGACGAGGTCGATGAGGGCCTTCGTTCTGGCGATCAGTAGCGATTGGGCTTTGAGAGTTGACTCTAACCCGTCCGTTGTTGAGGCGCTGCCCTGGTCTGTGCCAGAACGTAAGCGCGCGCGTATCGCGCGCGGGGTTCTAGTGTGTGCATATATACACATACATACAGGCGGCCCAGATTAGTAGGTCGACCCTGCCAGATCAAGGGTACCCGTGTGTCGTCTGTCTCGCGACCCATGCTTCGTACATTCCTTTGGCGATGTGGCCCTCGGAAGGGTCTTGTACCCTCTCGCGTGTCCTGTCCAATCGAGTCCGACTGTATGTATGTATTTATATGTATATATATATATATATATATATATGTATATACACATACATACGTACATACACATCGGAGTAGGCGGGGGGGCGCGGCGCTGCCTCAGTGCCGCATGGGGTTCACTAAACCATGTTTTACTATAGGGGGTCTGCCCATCCCCGAAAAATGGCTATGGCACAGAAGGCCCCATCACGCCCCAGCAAACCCTCCATTGCTGCGAGACGGCCCACGAGGCCTCCAAGACGCTCCACGAGGGCTCCAGACTGCTTTCCTAAACAGCCACAACAGGCAGACATCATTGATGATCCTTTGGATTTTCAAAGGTGTTCACGTTGCCGCCTGCTCTTCTGCCCGACCCCTGAAGACGCCACAAGAGGCGTTCAAGAGAGCCCCAGCACACCCCATGCTGCCAAGACGACCCACGTAGCGCCCGAGATGGTTCAAAAGGCCCCAAGACGGCCCCTTCATTGAGCTTGGACACGCCACAGGGGACCTCCACGGGGCCCACAAGGCAGCAAAGTGGCCGCATCACGCCCACCATGGCTGCGAAGCAGCCCACGCGGCCTCCAAGACGCCCCAAAAGGTTGAGGCCTCCAAGCCGCCCTCCACATACCTGCGGGGCAGCACGATCCGCGTGAGGAGTGCGCCGCGATGCGATGGGGCCGTGGGTGGAGCTCCCTGTTGGGCACGAAGCTTGTGATGGGTTTGCCGAGAGGGGCGGGAGGCCGTGGGTGGAGCCCCCTGAGGACACGCTCCGTGTGGAGGGGCTCCCCGCTGGGCGCATCGACCGCCACGGCCAGGTGGACGGGCGGCGAACCGCGCCGCGTGCCGAGCTGTGGGCTGCGGTGTAGGCGTGCAGCCTGCAGGGGCACGCGTTGACGTCGTCACGGATCCCCGCTTCGTGAGCCGCGGGATCGCCGCGCTTGGAGGCAGCGCGGGCGCGACGAACTGGCCGCACGGTGACCTGCGGGAGGCAATCGCACCGCAAGGCCGCAGCGGCAGCGCCGCCGCCGCAGCGCGGGCAGGCCGCCGCCCCAGCGCCCGCGGGTGCACCGCGCCGGGGGGCAGCTGCGGCGGGCGGCGCGGGAGCTCTTCGCAGGCCGCGCCTGGCTGGCGCACGCGGCGTCCCAGGGCCCAGTCTGGGTTGCCTGCGTGCGCTGCGGGTGCTGGGCGCCAGCGGGGCCGCCAGTGGCCAGCCGCCCGCGCGGCGGGAGGGCGCCCGCGCTGCCGCTGCGGGCGGGGATGCTGCTGCTACTGCTGGCAACGCGCGCAGGCGGCAACGAGGCGGCCTGGCGCGCCGCCCTCCTCCAGGATCGGCCGGCTGCGCGCCCCAGCCAGCCGGGCTGAGCCGGCGCGGGGCCGCGCGGGCGTGGGCGCGTGCCCCGTCGCCCTTCCTTTCTCTCCTCTCCCTCGTCGTCGCCACCGTCGTCGCCGTCTTCGTCTGGCGTTCCCTCGTCTTGCCGGTGGGCTCCGCTGCCGTTGGTTCACAAAGTGCCGAGGCATGCGTGGGGGCAAGATGCGAACCTTGCCTCCGAGGCCGCAGGTGGGGCGTGATCCGTGTGAGAGATGTGCCAGCGTGAGCGAGGCGACGCTACGCGGAACTTCCATCTCAGTGCACATACCTGCCGGGCAGCACGGTCCTCGTGCGGGGTGTGCCGCGATGCGATGGGGCCGTGGGTGGAGCTCCCTGTTGGGCACGAACCTTGTGATGGGTTTGCCAAGATGGGCGGGAGGCCGTAGGTGGAACTTCCTGAGGGCACGCTCCATGTGAAGGGTGTGTGCCGACAAAGAGGGAAGCCGCTATGCAGATATGTCGCCATTTCAACCTTTCAACTCCTGTCCCTCTCATTATGCATGTGCGTGTACAAGTTTAGGCGTGTGCGTGGGTGTCGTTACTATTAAACTTTGCCCCCTTTCTCTGTCTCTTTCTCTTTCTCTCTCTTCCTCTCTCTCTCTCTCTCTTTCTCTCCTTTTATCGCCCTACACGTGCAGTTATCAGAGTGAGGAGGCAGAGTGGTCATTCACTGTCCATGGGTGCGTGGTTGAAGTGGGCTTCCGTGGTGCGGATGATTGTTGCCGGTGCTGTTGTAGTTGTTGTTGCTGTTGTTATTTGGTGTTGTGATTGTTGTTGTTGTTGTTGAACATTATTACTTCTAAAGAATAATTATTGTTGGGACCCCTGGTGCGCGGCCCCCTCGCCGCGCCTAGGCCGCAGCCATGTTTTCATAATTTTCGTGAGGAAGTCTCTGGCAAAACGGGTTGGTCCGGATCCGGTTGTTTTGTTACGGGCGGTTTTCCCTTGCAAAAAATAAGGCAAAGTGGACATTTCTTGTTCTAACATACCCAAACTTCAAGAATCCCTTGCCAAAAATAAGGTAAAGTGGACATTCGCGCGCGCAAGACGAAATCCTTGCAAAACCTTAGTGTTCGTAGCGATCTTAACATAAAAACATCAAAAAACCGATGGTTTTTCAAAAAAAAAAAAAGTGTCAACATTTCATCCCGCGCGCTCTTGCGGATTTGTAGGAAACCCAACACTTTTTAAACATTTCTGTCAAACGGGCTTTTGCGAGCAACTTTTTCACGTGCTTCGAACTTCTCCAACAACGGTTGCGCACCTGCCAGGGCCATCATCCCTGTCAAATAATACCATGCGGGACACATTCGTTTTTCTTCGCGCGCGCACGCCGAAATCTTCAAAAACCATTGGGTTTCTTAGGAATTTTAGCACCGCGCAACATAAAATCATACGAATCGCACCGTAGGTCCTCGAAAAACATCTGTACGAATTTTCAAAATTTCTACCCGCGCGCGCTGTCCGAATCCTAAAAAACCAATGGTTTTTCAACATTTATGTTACATGAGCTCGCGCGAGCTACTTTCGCAGTGTTGGAACAGGTGGAAAAGGCGTATACTAAGCTAGCGTCCAGAAAATGTTACCACAACAAGTCACTGTACCCATGCGCCAGTGTAGTAGCCACGGTCGTCCGCAGGCCACGAAGTGAAGTGTCCGAACGTCATAGGGCGGGAAGCTGGGTGTGGGTGGTGGCGAAGAGTCGTTTGGAAATGTGGTAGAGCTTGAACCGGCCCCCCCACAAAGTGGGGGCATTGGCGGGCGTCGTATGGAAACCCTGGCACTGGTGAGAACGGAGTGTCCCCACGTGCTAGTAATTGTTGTTGTTGTTGTTGTTGTTGTTGTTGTTGTCGTTGGTGGCGGTGTTGTTGGTGTTGTCGTTGTTGTTGTACGTTGGTGATGTTGTTTTGGTTGTTCTTGTTATGGGTGCTGTTGTTGGTGTTGTTGTGGTTGTTGGTGGTGTTGTCGTTGTTGTTGTTTTGAGTGTTGTGGTTGTTGATGCCGTTGTCGTTGTCGTTGTCGTAGTTGCTGGCGTCGTTGTTGCTGTTGTTGCTGTTTTCTGTTGTTGATGTTGGTGTTGTTGGTGTTGTTGGTGTTGATCGTGTTGATCGTGTTGTTGTTGGTGGTGGCGGTGTTGTAGTTGTTGTTATTGTTATTGTTGCTGTTGTTATTGTTGTTATTGTTGTCGTTGTTGTTCACGAGTACACTTCTGGGGGCCTGTTGCTCAACCCCACCCCCCAGCAACGCCACGGGGCCACGCAGGGGCCCTGCAGGGCCCTTCCTCCGAGCAGCGCCACGGGGCCTCGCCGAGCCGGGGGCCCCGAAGGGCCCCTGTGGCGTCGCTCGGGGGGGGGGGTCGGGGCTGCTGCGAGGCTCCTGGGCGTGGATCGGGAGGCCCTTGCGAGGCCACAGGGAATCTTTACAGTATGGGCGTTGACCTCAGGAACCCCATATAAGGAACGAGGCCCCTTTTTCCATAAGTTAAGCTTCGATCGCCGATCGAAGACATAAGGAAAACCTGAGGCGTGCTGTGAAACACTTACGGAACGCGGAGCCCCTCCCCAACCAAAAGGGTTCCTTCTTCAGGGCCCCGATTGTATCGGATCCCATGCAGGGAGTACGGGATCGGTATGGGGTCTCATACAGGTCTAAGGTTTCGGGCCAATTTCACGTTTCGTGGCCCCACAGGGGGCTCAGCCGAGGGCCGCGGATCCAGTTCGCACACCCTTCACACGTTTCGTGGCCCCAGTAGCTTTCGCCGAAGGTTTCGGGCCAATTTCGGCACACCCCTCACACTTTTCGTGGCCCCAGTGGACGTCACCGAAGGATTCGGGTCAATTTCGGCACAACCCTCACACGTTTCGTGGCCCCACAGGGGACTTCGCCGAAGGCTTCGGGCCCATATCGTCGAACTCGCTAGGACCCCATACAGGGCGTATCGGAGATGTGTTGGCTCCACTACAGGCCGTGTCGGAATTGTGTGTCGTCCCATAAGGCCGTATCAAATCTTCACATGATCCCGTACATCCGTACAGGGTCAGTGTAGGATCCTGTGCAGGCCGTGTCGTCTTTGTACAGGACCCCGTACATGCCGTATCGAGTCTGTGTAGGATCCTATGCAGGCCGTGTCGGATTTGTGTGGGGTCCCATACAGGCCGTATCGGTTTTATACAGGACCCCGTACGTGCCGTGCCGGGTCTGTGTAGACTCCCATACAGGCCGTGTCGGGTCTGCTTGGGATCCCATACAGGCCGTGTCAGATGTTTGCGGGATGCCCCTGCAAGCCGTGTCGGGCCTGTGCGTGATCCCATACAGGCCGTGTCGGGTTTGTGTAGGCTCGTTTACAAGCCGCATCGGACTTGTAACGGATCCCATACAGGCCGTGCCGGTTGTGTAATAGAGTCAGATTAGCGGTGGGTCCTTTTGATATACACGGTCCGACTAGAGGTAGAGCCACATGTAATACAAACCCAGAGCCACATATCCGATTTGGGGCGGAGCCACATGTAAAGGGATTCCAATAGGGTCCGTAGAGGGGTTCTTACAGGGGCCGTAGAAATCCCACCAAGATTCCTACAGGATTCCCGTAGTATCCGTCGGGATCCGATGGGAAGCTCACCAGATTCTTACGAGATTCCTATAGGGCCAGTCGGGATCCGATGGGATTATGACAGGATTCTTGTAGGGTTCGTGTGGATCTTATAGGATGCCAACGGGAATCCTACAGAGTCGGCAGGGATCCCATTGGATGCTGCAAGATTCCAACAGTGTCCGTAGGGATCCGATATAATTCCTACGGAATCCCGACACGGTCCTATGGGATTTCCATGGGATTCGTCTAGGGGTGTTTTAGGTTTAGGGTTCGTAGGGATCTTATAGGATCCCCATAAGATGCCCGCAGGGTCCTACAGGAATATCCTCACGAGTCGTATAGGAGTCGTTTAGGGTTCGCGGGGGCCCGATAGAAGTTCCTACAGGATCCCTTCAGGGTCCTACAGGATCCCCACAGGATTCGCGTAGTAGTCCCTAGAGGGCTCGCAGGGATCGTATAAGATTCGTATAGGATTCTTGCAGGGTCCTACAAGATCCCCATAGGATCCGCACAGGAGTCTTATAGGCTTCATAGGGGTCCTGTGGGATTTCCACTGGATTCCTGCAGGGTCCTGCAGGATCCCCAGAGGATTCTTATACAAGTCCGTTCTAGGGTTCGTAGAAATCTTATAGGATTCCCAAAGGATTCCTGCATGGTCCTACAGGATCCCAATCGGATTCGTGCAGGAGCCCTCTAGGGTTCGAAGGGGGCCAATAGGACTCCTGCAGGTTTCCTTCACTGTCCGATCGGATTCGTATCGGATTCGTATAGGAGTCCTCCAGGTTTCGTAGGGCTCCTGCAAGATTCTGATCGACGACGAAGAACTCGCTTCGCCGGCGCGCGCGCGGTTTTCGCACACAGGAGCGCGTGGAGAAGAGCAAGGGAGCTTACGTGGAGTCGGGAATGCATTTAGGTAACGTAAGCGTATGACAGAGGTGTTGCGCCGCGTTGCACCCCACTGGGACAACAACGACAACGTGTGGCCGCCCAGGAGGGTGCGCTCGCCCTGTGGGCGGGGCCGCCACCACGGGACCCGCCGGTGTGGCCTGAGGGGTTGTCCTTGCGTTGTTGTTGTTGGTGGTGTTGTTTGTTGTTGTCGTTGTTGGTGGTGGTGGTGGTAGAGGTGGTGGTGGTGGTGGTGGTGGTGTGGTTGTTGCTGTTATTTTGTGTTTGTTGTCGTCGTCCCGCCCGCGCCCCGGCATTCGACCCACCCGCGACCCACCCGCGACCCACCCGCGACCCACCCGCAACCCAACCGCGACCCAGCCCGCGACCCGCCCGCGGATCGCCCACGACCCACCCGCGACCCACCCCGCGCCCGCCGCTTTCTATCCGCAACTGCGGGGTGCTACATAACAGTGTGCATGTCCATGTGTACGCGTGTGTTGCACCATTTCCCCATATTTCTCGACTAGGGAGGGCATGGACCGTTCGGTAGGCCGACAGCCTAGGAGCTGCATCAGACAAGGAGCCATGAGGATTAGCAGCGAGGAGTTGCAAGATGACAGAGTGGAGAAAAATGGAGGACATGGTACCATATCCTGGCCCATACTGTTGATGGCGGCCGCAACATGTGCGATGGTTGTCCGGGAGGTGCGCGGGGAACCCCATCGCTGTGGGCGTTTTTCCTCGGACATCCCATCTCCTCCAGTTCCATGACACGTCGATTAGTGAATTGTCCGTTTTCGGTTCTCGAGATGGCGCCGTGGCCGTTATTTTCCAGGCTTGCGCCCGCCAGGTTTGGGCCTCAGGTCGTTTGCACTAAACCACGTTTTACTAAAGGGGGGTCGGTCTGTCCATCCCCGATCCCTCAACACCCCTCCATATCTCCCCTCCCTCTCAATCCCTCCCGTATCGTCGCCAGCAGGCTCTCCCACCAGGCTTTTGAGCGCACCGGGTGCAGCCTTGGCCGCCTCCCAGGCCCGACAGCGCGCGGGCCGACCAGGGCAGGAGGTCTCCGCCCGCCCTGGCCCCTGGCGGCGCGGCACCGTGCACATCCTTGTCGTCGGACCTCGGTCTCCCTGCCCCTCCTCGATCTTCTCGATCTCCTCGATCCACGCTCCTCCTGGACGTCTCCCGGTGGCCCCCCCGTCAGGGGGACGGGAGGAGGAAGGAGGGGAGGACGGGGAGGGAGGGACGGAGGACGGGGAGGGAGGGGATGGAGGAGGAGGATCAGGGACAACGATAGGGGGGGGTGGGCAGAAGGGGGGGATGCATCGACGCAGAATCGCCCATTGATCGCCGACAAGGGCCCGGTAGCCCCAACCTGCACAGGAAGGTGCGGATCACTATCGGGAGCCTATCGCCGATTTATCGGCGATGTATCGCCGATTCCAGGTTGATGCATCCCCCCGTATGCCAGTCCCCCCGTATCGTTGCCCCTCAGAGGAGGGGAGGGAAGGAGGACTGGGTGGGATGCAGGAAGGGATGAGATGGGGGGGGAGGGTGGGATGGATGGGGGCATGAGGGGGAGGAATTGGAGGAGGATCATGGGGAGGAGAGGGATGGTTATCCGAAGCACGGTTTGCACTGCTGCTGCACCCCCCTCCCTGGTTGCCGCCATGGTTGGTTCTGGGCTCAGCGGTCTACAGGTTGATTATGTGTCAGCGTTTGGTCGAATAGTTGTTGCTTGTTTAGGGCCAGGCTGCCTTCGAGAAGGAAGAGGTCGGGGAGGAGAGCGAGGAAGAGAGGAAGCAACAAGGACATCGAGACTAGGCACAGATGAAAAGCAGAGTTAAATGGATGAACGCTAACTGATCTATGAGACATCGAGAATAAACACAGGGCATGTCGTGTACGTTTGACCGTCTCCAGAGTTTTCCGCGCAAATGATGGCGTTAGTGCAGGGTTGGTACATACACGTTGCGCCGACAGAACTGACGGAAAAAAATAGACGAAGACGAGGAGCTGAGGAAACATAACAGTAGGAGGAAAGGACGAGGAGGGCGGTGGAACACATAACGAAACTGATAAGCAACATTCATAAGATAATGAAGAAGTGTTCATAAGGTTTTTCGTGTACGTGATCGCCAACTGCGGGCTCTGCCGTTCAAATCTTCAGTGGTTCAGGGTTTGGTCTAGTATGTCATGATTGTTTCAAGGTTTGTCGTGTAAGTGTTTGTCGTCTCGTTGGTTGCTGTCGTGGAACTGTTGACGTGTCAGGGTTGGGTCGCGCTGTGTCGTGTACGTTTTAGTCGTCTCGCTGGCCACTACAATAACCAAAGGTTAACAGCATAGACTGGTCTCGGGGACGCGCATCTGTTGCAATTTACAATGGAGTTTGGTGTCAAAATCGCGCGTCCGCAGTAACTTACAAGTTGCCGTAACGTATGAAGGCCTTTGGCCTGGGGAATGCACGTCTGTATTATTTTACCAGGGGCTCATGGCTTCAGAAGCGCATATCTGATACATTGTGCAGGCCTTCGGCCTTTGCCGCCGACCCTGAAGGCGGGACCTCCCAGAGACCCCTGCTGGCACCGCCCTCCACCCCCGGGACCCGCCTGGACCCCGGAGAGGGCGGTATTCTGACCTGGGACCACCCTCCCTCACTACAGGCGGGACCTCCCCTCGGACCCTCTCCCGGAACCCCCTCCCCACAGGGGGACCCCCCCCCGTCCTCCCTCTGTCCACAGGGGGAAGCGGCGGGAGGGGAGGGGAGGGGCCGCCCCGACCGCGAGGAGGGACAGCAATCTGACCCAAGACCAGCCCCGCAGCCCCCCTTTTCACACACACTCACACACCCGCAACCCCCTCCCCTATTTATATTTCTTCTGATTAAACACCCCCACATCCCCACCTAGCCGGCCGGTAGCACCCCCGCCGTCCTGACTGTCAGACAACAATACAATTTCATTTGTGTCTCACCAACATGTCGTCGAGTTGCGAAAAGTGTAGCAGGAATGGGTCGGATTGGACATCGCTTGGGTAATCCTAAGCGGGTGGCCGCGTCCTACCCATCCAAAAAATGTCAAAGGCAACGTTGTTCGAATCAACATGGACTTTCTTGTCGTCGACACTGCGAAAAGTGTACCAGGAATGGGACGCGGCGTACATCGCGCGCGGACGCCTGGCCAACCCTACGCGGGACTCCCCGTCCTATCTGTCAAAAAACACAGCAATGCCGACGTGTTCTTGCCAGCGTGTACTTGCTCCTCGTCGGCGCTGCGAATCGCGCCGCGGGAATGGGGCGCCCCGCGAATTCCCAAGAGGCATTCTCCTTCTTCCTCCACAGTTTATCCCTCCCTCTCTCTCTTTTCTCCTCCTCCTCCTCCTCCTCCTCCTCCTCCTCCTCCTCCTCCTCCTCCTCATCCCCCCCTCGTCCATACGCGGCAGGAGCGAAACGATTGGCGACACAACGTGCGTGGCTAGAATGAGACGCGGCGCGCTTCGCCCGCTGAACATTTTGTTGCCGACGATGCAACATGAGAGGCCGGAGCGGGGCGCGGCGTAAATCGCGCGCGGTCTTGTTTCTCGTCGACGCTGTTCAACACGCGGTAATAATAGGACGCAGGTCATGTCGCGCGCTGAACGTCTAGCCCCCCACGATATGAGATGAACGACGTGCGTCGGACGCGACGCACATGCTTCTTATGTTGCGGGGGGGCGGGTGGGAGTGGACGGAACCTTCTGGCTCGTTCGAGCTGGTTAACTTGACCCGTACCCCCTACCCCGCCCCCTACCCTTACTCCCCCGCACCCCCACCCGTACCCCCTCCCCTATTCCCCCTTTGGCAGGGAGGGGAGCAAGGGGAGGGAGTCGACTTCACTGCGACGTTTTTTTTTTGTTCTCTGGTTGTTTCTATATTGCCTTGGGGCTTGCGACGACGACGGCGACGTCGAAAACGACGACAGCGTCTCACGCACGCCGAAAGGTCGACGGACTTCAGGGTGTGGCTTCGGGGGCGCACATCCGTCGGAATGCTCGACGGACATAGTTTCGGCCGCATCTTACTTTGCGAGGGGCTTTAGCTTCGGAAGCGCACGCCTGTCGTAAGGTCGAGGGGTGGTCCTCCAGAGCGCGCGTTCGTGGCAATGTACAGGGCGTCGTGTGGCCTTGGATGGGTGAACATGTTGTATATGTCCCATGTTCTAAGGGGCTTCCGTTCGAAAAGGGAACGTCGTCAGGTGCTGGTAAACCGCTCGTATGGCCCAGGGGGGACGCGCCTTCGGAACTGGACCCGAAGGGCTGGAAACTATTACTTGCGCGTTCGAATCCTTATCCTCGCAGACTGGTGGCCCCCGCAAGGGGGGCCAGGTAACAACGACTCGCTGGGAGGACCGAGGAGGAAGAAAAGTGGGAATAGTGTCGCCGGAAGGATAGCGGGAGGAGGGAGGCAATCGTTTCGATGGCACTGGGCGACAACGCGCCTGGGATCCGACGAGGACGGGGCACACCGCCCGACCACGACGATAACGACGACGGGCCAGACGACGGCCGCCGACGGCGACGACGCTCGACGGCCAGCGTGCCGACGGCCAGCGGCCAGCGGCGGCGTTGGCAGCGGCGAGGAGGCGAAGCAGCCGCGCGCGGCGTGCCCCAGGCGCGTTGGGCCCCCAGGGCGGCCGCCGCTGCCGGCGCGGCGCCCCGCTGCTGGCGCGGCGCGCCAGCGGACTGGCGCTCGAGGCCTCGGCCCCTGCGCGCCGAGTTTGCGCCGAGGGCGCCGCGCGACGGCCGCGGTGGCGGCAGCGGCGGCTGCGGTCGGCGACCACAACGGCGGCAGGGACGGCTGGCAGGAGGAGGATGAAAAAGGGGAGGGAGGAGGGTGGGTGGAGGGCATAGAGGGGGGAGCGGGGCAGTGGACGATGACGAAAAGAAGGAGGAGGAGGAAGAGGAGGAGGAGGATGAGGAGGTGGAGGAAGGAGGAGGAGGAAGAGGATCAGAGGAGGAGGAGGAGGAGGAGGAAGAGGAGGAGGAGGAGGAGGAGGAGGAGGAGGAGGAATAGGAGGAGGAGGAGGAGGAGGAGGAGGAGGAGGAGGACGACGAGGACGAGGACGAGGACGAGGACGAGGACGAGGACGAGGACGAGGGCGAGGAGGAGGAAGAGGAGGAGCACGAAGAGGAGGAGGAGGAGGAGGAGGAGGAGGAGGAAGAGGAAGAGGAGGACGAGGAGGAAAAAGAGGGGGACGAGGAGGAGGAGGAGGAGGAGGAGGAGGAGGAGGAGGAGGGGGATGAGGAGGAGGAGGAAGATGGAACAGAAGAGGAAGAAGAAGGAGGAGGAGGCAGAGGAGGCGGCGTACCCACCCCGCTGGTCTCACCCAGAAGCAGTGTGGAGGGCATTGGGGCAAAGTGGCCCGAATAGGGGGCCCCGCCGCTGAGCTCCACGCCTGTGCCCCACTGGCGCCGCGAGAAGGCGAAGGGTTCGCCTGAACACATTGCGAGGAAGCCAACAAGCTTGGTAACCCAGTGCGGGCGATAATAAAGTACCCCCCCTTAACCCCTCCTATGTTTTATTCCCGCCCACCAGAATTTAATTGTGGAGAGGGGCGCGGGGGCCTAACTTTATAATCCACGGGCGAAGTTGCGAATCTAGGTTGTGGGGAGAGCACGATCCTAGAGCGGGTGCGCGAGGGATAAGGGGTCCAGGAGTTAGCAGCCATGCAGGAAGTGTACAATTCTCCTCGAGTGCGCGGCGCGCGCATGGAAGGAGGGTTCAGACATTCGCTGCCAAGTGGGACGTGCACCATCCTCGAACGGACGCGTGGAAGGGGGCCTTCAGGCATTAGCTACCACGCGAGAAGTGCACCATCCTCGAGCAGACACGCGTGGAAGGAGGGTTTTGGCATTAGCTGCCATGCTGGAAGTGCACCTTCCTCCATCGGGCACGAGGGAAGTGGCCTTGGTAAATTGCACGCGGCAGTCTGCGGGTAGAGGGAGGGGCCGTCTCTGATTAAATTTCGCATCCTACAGCGCCTCAGCGTGCAAGAGGCCACGGTGGTGCATATCAAGCAAGGGCAGGAGGAAGAGGAGGGAGGAGGGAGGCGAGAGGAGTCGCAAGAGGGGGAAAGAAAGGGAGGGAGAGGACAATACGAAGGTGCAGGGTGAAAAGGACAAGGACTGTTGAAGAGGTGGGCGGGACGGGGAGGAGGAGAGTGGAACGGACCCGCCATCTCCTTGGGCCAGCTTCACAAGTCATACAGGCAAGACTACGAACTACTTGTTGCACTACCTTCCGGTGGAGGAGATGGAGGAGGAGGAACAACACATTTACGAATAATACAATTAAACCAATAGGACGACTAACCATACTACTAATAAAGAGCATACGGATACGAATTATCATAACAGGACTACGAGCAATATTCATTGCACAAGTACTACTGACGGTAGTAAAAATAATCATAAGATGAAGAAAAGGGAGGGGCAGGGAGAAGAGATGCCCTCCTGCTCCTCCTCCGTCTCCTCTCTTCTCTCTCCTCTCTCCTATCCCCTCTCTTCTCGTCCTTCTCTTCGTCCTCCTCCTCCTCCTCCTTCCTCCTCTTCCTGCTCCTCTTCCTCCTCCCCCCTCATGTCCCTCCCCTTTCCCTCCCCCACCCACACGTTCCCCCTCATCGTCTGCCTCCCCCTCCCAGCCCCCTCCCCCTCCCTGCTCCCAGCCTCCCTCAGTTCTCGCCTCCCCGACCCTCCGCTGCGCCCCCCCCCCCCCCACATATATATATATATATATATATATATATATATATATACACACACATACATACACACACACACGCGCGCCCCTCGTCCTCCTCCTCCTCCTGCTCCTCCTCCTCCTTGTGCTCTTCCTCCCTCTCCTGCTCCTCCTTCTCCTCCTCCTCCTTCTCCTCCTCCTCCTCCTCCTCCTCCTCCTCCTCCCCCTCCTCCTCGTGCTCAGCGTGCCCGTACTCAGGATTAGGGGGAGGAGGAGGAGGAGGAGGAGGAGGAGGACCAGTGCAAAACCAAGAGTCATCAACGATGTTGGAATTTACCCTCCCTCCAAACTCCCTCTTCATAGGCCCCCACAACGGTTCATTTCCATTGAGGGAACTGCCTCGTTGGAAGACAACCTCTGAAGACTCTGAAGCATGCCAAAACATTGTTCTCAGGATTTCAACGCCGCGTACCAAACTGACTGCTGCGTCTGGACGATCCGGAATCGTGCCAGAGCGCCATTTTGGGGACTTCAACACCGCGAATCAACATATTTGTTGCACCTGCAAGTTCCCGAAGCCTTCCGAAACACCAATTCTGGTACGTTGATCATGGGAATCCGTGAAACTCTTGCGATGTTTGAAACGAATGTGCGCGGCGCTTAGGCCCTTCAAAGTTTTTTCACGAATGCGCGCGGCGCTAAGGCGAGAGCCCCATTTTGGAAACCACCCGCTGTCAATCCGTGAAACTCTTGCAAATTCTTGAAACGAATGCGCGCGACGCGAAGGCGAGAGCCACACTTTGAAAACCACTCGCCCTCAATCCGTGAAACTCTCGCAAATGTTTAAAGCGAATGTGCGCGGCGCTAAGCCGAGAGGCACATATTGAAAACCACCCGCCCTCCGAATTTGTTGTCCTTTTCTCAGCGTCAGAATCATAAATGGTGAGGAAGTCTCAGGCGAAACGCCCGGCCCGCCCTGAAATCTGGCCTCGGGTTTCGACGGGGAGGAGTTATCTATAAGGAGAAGGAATGAAGGAGGAGAAGGAGGAAAAGGAGTGGGAGCAGAAGGACGGCGACAACGCTTTGAGGAGAGGAGGAGGGAGTCTGACGCCGACCAGGACGAATCAAGGAGGCAGGCAGGAGGGGGATGACATGGAGGTTATTTGGATAATTCTTTTGGGTTTTGGTGATTGCGACGTGTATGGAAGTCTGGTGTTCTGTCATTTTCCAGGTTCAATGTTGGAGGATCTTCTCGAATCGGTTCCCTTGCATGCATCCCTCGCCTTTCCCCATTTGTTGTGGGTTTGGGGTCCGCGTGCCTGGTCGCTGACAGCCCAATCGGATATTTGCATGTTCATCTCCAACTGCTCTCCTGACTTGCCTCGCATTTCAAATCGAACAGACAGCAGTGGCGAGGTTGACCCGGAGTACCCCGGGACCGCGGTGCAGCGCTTGCGGAACATTCAGGATCGGTTCGTTTGGTCGTCGCGTTTCTTAGCCATATCCGTTCGATGCACGTTGCGTTCATGCTACCCTAATTTTGCGGCAACATACGGTCGTTGTTGCGGATTGTCTGCTCCCGCCCCGATCTCTGTTTCATCTCCATCGCCTCGGGGACTGGCAGAGTTGCGAAGGCATTTGCTATGCGTAGAGAGTTGTTTTGGGTGGCGGAGGGATTCGCAACATCCTGGAATGCCGCAACATGCGAGCGCCGCCAGGATCGCTGGCGCGATTGCGGAGAGTTGCATTTGTTGCAGAGGGGGGGAGCGCACGACTGCGCAAGGGAAATTGCACGGTGCACGGCCATGCTGACCCTCTCTGCTGGAGAGTTGTTTCGTGCAGATGGCCAGATGACCGTCTCTCCACGGCGGTCTCGTTGTCTGGTCAGAGCATAATACCAAACACATGAGCCGCATATTGTGTGTTAGCGTTGCTTGTGGATGTGCTGGTCGTGTCGGGGCCATTTGCACCGACGCTCGCCTCGTGGCGAACGTTGCCAGCAGATGCCTCACTGGTTGGCCACACGAACATGGACACGTGGTATGACGTCAGTGTTCCATGAGACGTGTGGGAATGGAGTCCACAGCATACCGCTGGGAAACAGCACGAGACTGGCCGTGCAGCCATCTTTATAAGGTGTCTCGATCCTTGCTTCAGTTGCCTTGGGGCCCAGCAGAGTCGCCCCGGAGGGGGGGGGGAGCGCTTGGGTGCCCCCCCTGCTCCCATCCAAGAATGCCTGGGCGTTGTTGGCCCTGAGCGCATGGACGGCGCAGAGGGCCATCAGAGATGCCCCAGGAGGAAACCAGCGGAGCATCGCAGACGCCCTCGAGACGCTCGCAGCGTCCTCCCATTCCCGCGAAGACAGCCGCGCGTCGCGCGGGGCGCGGGGCGCCAGTTTGGGTGTTCCCCCGTCGCAGGGAAGAGAGGCGGCGTCACCACCACCACGGGGGGCCACCTCCAGCGAGGAGGCCCACGACGCCTCTCCGAGCCGGGGATCGGGGATGCCTCCAGCGGCAGGCGGGTGGGAGCACACCACCGGGGGCCCCCCCCGCCGCTTGCTGCCTCGCGCTGGCGGTGGCCCCGCTCCTCCCTGCGCCCGCCCCGTGGCCGCTGCTCCCCGCGGCCCTCCGGCCGCGGGGCCCCTTCGGGGAGGGGCCGCGGCCCGGCGGCCCCGAGGCCCGCGCCCTGCGCGCGGGCCGGGCCACGCGCGCACCCGCCCATGCACGGGCCGGGGGGCGGTCGGGTGTGGCCAGGAGTGCCCCCGTCGACTGCACGTAAGAGTGACCCTTCGCCGGAGTGACCTTTGGTGCGGGCTCCTCGGGCTCCCCCCGATGGCCGAGCACGATGCGATATAAGCGGCCCGCGCCCTTGGGTTTGGCTCCTTCGCGCCCCCAAAGGCTGCGCACCCAAGGTCACTCTTACCCAGGGTCACTCTTACGTCTTGCTGACCCTGTCGGGGGTGGACAGAACCCCCAACAGTGACACGTCGATTCGTGAGTTGTCCGTGTTCGGTTCTCGAGATGGCGCCGTGGCCGTTATTTTCCAGGCCTGCGCCCGCCAGGTTTGGGCCTCAGGTCACTAAACAATAACCACGTTTTAAGAAAGGGGGGTCTGTCCATCCCCGACCCTGGGGCGCCGCCGCCGCGCGCCGCGCCGCTCTGCGGGAGCGCCTGGTGCAGCGGCCCGGGCCGCCAGATGCAGCGGTGAATTCGCGGCGTCGCGCTCGCGGGCAGCGCCGCCCCCCCGTTGGCCCCCTCCTTCCCTCCCCTCCTTGTGGCCCAAGGTGCCCCCAGGATTTCCAAGGATCCCCCGCGGCAACCCCCGAGGGTGGCGGATCGAGGAACGACACAAACGTCATCATGAGAACATTTTCTCGGAGTTCGGCGCGTTTTTTTGATCGGCGCCAGACCCCCCTGGCGGCGCCTCCGCCGCCGCCCCTGGCGCGCTCCGCACGCCAGGGAGGGGGGTCCAGCGCCGATGCAAGAAATCCTGGTTTCGGGACCCTCCTCCCTCCAGCCATGAGTAAGCTCGCAGTCGGTCACCTGGCCCTTCCTTGGTAGCATCCTGGACAGATTTCAGAACCGCGTTTGCCAAGATTCCAGGGGGGCGAACATGGCCCCCACCCACCAAGAGCATCCAATCCAATCCAGGACAAGGACCGCAAGGACGGCGAGGATGCAAACGACGATGCACGATGTCAGTGTTTTCCTCCCGGCGCTCTGCCCACCAACCGCAGGACCGCGTCCGAAGTCTGAGCCGCGGGGATTTGGACGGTGACTGGGAGGAGGCCCGCGGGCGTTGCAAGCAGACTCGATGGAGGGAGGAGCGAGGCAGAAGAAGCGAGACACCAGCACCAGCGGGCCGCCTCCAGCGATGAGGTCCACGATGCCACCCCACGGTCGAGATTGGAAATATCTCAGGGGGACCGCACCAGGAGGACCCTCCCTGGCTCCTCTCGACAGCGTTGGTGGTGTCGCTTTCCAGATCTCCTCCTGCAGGGAGAAGGAGGAGGAGGAGGAAGAGGAGGAGGAGGAGGAGGAGGAGGAGGAGGAGGAGGGGCGAACCTCAATCGTCATAATCATATCGAGGCGGCATCTGTTTCATCGGTTTGGTCCCCAGGGGCACGTTTCTGACCGAAGAGCCGTCAGAACCGATCCAGGATGAAGCACCTGTCCAGAGGAAGCAGTCGAGCTTTCCAGGTGCCCGCATCACAGAAGTCGTGACGTCGGATGTCTGATGATGCAGGGTCGTGTTTTATAGCTCTTTCTTATCCTTGCCGCCACCGCTGAATTCGTGTTCGAAATCATCACTCGTCAATGTGTGGTCCAGGATTTGGGGAAGCAGGCGCCTCCGGCCAAAGCGTTGTGACAGCAATCACGACGGGCGCTCTTGCCCCGACCTCGAGCTCGCGCGACGCCAGGCGCCGTAGAAACGTTAGATCGAGTTTGGATGTTCCACCATGTGTTTTCGCTGCCACGATGAGGGATCTGGGGGATCTCGTGGAATTCGTTCTCATGGTGCACATGGACCGGGCAGGCGTGCATAGTTACGTGCACTGATCTGGGCATATCCGGCGGGGCGCCCCTCACCACCCACAAAGCTCAGTCCGAAATGCTAGGCCTCGAGAACGGGCCGCTTGATTGATGTCTGGATTGTTTGACGAAATGCCTTGTGTGTTCAAGATGAGGGCATGCCGTGCGACGGAATATATACATAGCCACTGCTCCCTTGCCAGGCCCACCCTGGACCCGGGAGCTGTGTGTACGCCCTCCTGGCCGAGCCAGGAGGGCGTGGCGTATGCACCGCTGCTGGGTTCAGGATGGGCCTGGCCAGGGAGCAGTGGATATGTACTTAGCACCCCGCAATTGCGGGTAAGAGTGAGGGGGCGGGCGCGGGCGACGCGGGCGTCGTCAAGCTGGCGGACCTCGTGGCCCCCACCTTCCCTGTTGATGGCGCTCTCCTCCTCCTCCTCCTCCTCCTCCACCTCCTCCTCCTCCTCCTCTTCCTCGTCCTCGTCCTCGTCCTCGTCCTCATGCCTCTTCTATTCTCTGTGAGCAAGCTCCTGCTGTCTCCGCAGCTTCTCTGCCCAAGTGCCCCCCGTCGGCCGCGCGTGCGGGCGCCTTATGCAGGCGGTCGCACAAGCGGCTTTCCAGGGCGCTGGGGAGATTTTGTTCAGGGGGCTGCGGGCCGCGCTCTACGAGCGGCTCGTGGCTGCCCCCCTCTCTGTGCTTCAGGACCAGGGGCCTCCAGCTCCTGCCTGGTCCATCCTGCAGGCGGACTCGTCCGAGGGCGAGGGGGCCTCCTGCCCTCTCCCTTCGGCGGGTTCCACCTGCCCCACCGTCTGCCTCGGGCTGGCGGTGGACCTGAGCGGCGGGGTCTCTCCCTGGCTGCTCAGCACGGTCGCCGCCCTCCTCTGGGTGACGGCCGCCTGCAGCGCCTGCGCGGGCTGCTGCCTCGGGCTGCTGGGCCCGTACGTGTGGCGGAGGCTCTGGCCCTTCGCCTGGCCGCGCGGCGCGGTTTCTGCTTCACCTGAGCAGGACCGCCGTGCGGCGCGAGCGCTGGCCTACGGGGCTCCGCCTCGACCTCAAGCGCTCGAGCGGGCAGACGCCCAGCGTGCGGGCGGCGGCGTCCACGGCGGCGCCCACTGATGGCGGAGCTGCCACCAGTTGGCGGAGGGCCCCTTTGGCCCGAGCTCTACCCTTTCGCTGCGCCCACGGCGCGCGACTACGCACGATGGCGCCTAGACGACGGCGACACCAGCTGGGCGGCTATCCCCCTCGCCTCTCGAGAAGGGGGCATCCTGCTGGCCCTGCCTGGTGCCTTTCGCTCTACAGCGGAGCTCGAGGCTGCCGAGGCGGATGGCTTTGCTGGGATGATAGGCCCCTTCCAGCTAGTGGACGTCCAGCTCCAGGGGGCCGCTTCACGGCCGCTCGCCACTACCGCATCCGTCCTCGTTATAGATATCGAGGTTGCCGAGCTCGAGCTCGAGTCGCTGTACCCTCTAGAGGTCGGCGACGACGCAGGCATCGTTCCCTTCGCCGAGGTGCGCAGCCGCGTCTATTGGCCGCATCCTTCGGGGGTTCGGGTGCTTCGCGAGGGCTACGCTCGTTTGCACGGCGCCCCGCCTACCGCAGGGGAAGAGCCTCTCCCAGGGGCCGATCGGGCTACCCCCTACCACTCTGCCGACGAGATGGAGGAGCCCGAGGGGTTCGCGGCCGACGGGGAAGCCGACCGCGCGGCCCCAAGTGCGCGAGCCCCCGCGGTCGCTGGAGCGCCGCGCGGCCCGCCCGCCAAGCGCGCTGGCGCCGCCGCGCCGCCACGGGTCGCGGGTCCTGCTCCGATTGCTCCTGGCGCTCCTGCGGCGTCTCTGGACGACGGGGCTCCCATGACCCGCGCCGAGGTAGCTGCCGAAATGCGCGCCTTGCTTGCAGCCCACGCGGCCTCCACGATGGTCGGCGGACCCGAACCGCTGGGCCCCGCTCCGGCTGCCCAGAGCGCTCGGCCCGAGGTGCCTCAGCTTTTCAGCGACGAGGCGGCGCGCCTCGGGCTGGATCCTGCGGGGATCGAGGCCGTCTTGTCCCACGCACCCGTGGCCCCTCATCGGGTCTCCGCGCGCCCCAAGGGACCCACCTCCGCGCTGGTCTCGGCGTGGGAGAAGGCGCGCTCTTCTGCTGTCCCTCGGGCCCCTTCGTCCGCTTTCGGACCGATGGGCCCCCCGCCGCCGCCTGGGCTAGCCTATCCCGCTGCGGTCGACGGCTTTGCCGAGGTGGGCGGCGCCGACGGGTTAGAGCCGCCCCTTGCGGCCAATCCGACGGACTTCAGCCTCATGCTTCAGTGCCTGCGCCAGTCCCTTTCCTTGCAGCAGGGGCGGGGCCATCGCCCAGCCTTCCACCCGCTTCTGGGGACCCTGAGCGACCGAGCTCAAACTCCGCCCGCGACCTCGGGCGACCCCGCGCACGCATCGGCTCAGATGGGGGGAATCGCTCGGAGGCGCGAGTGGCAGCAAGCGCTGATGCAGCACGGCCCCGACGTGCGAGGACTGATGAGGGAGAATTTGGCCCGCGTTCTGGGCGTGGAAGTCAGCGCCGTGACCCCCATGGCCATGCATCAGTACTTTCGCGAGCACAGCCCCCTCGGGGCTCAGCCGTCGACGCACGAGTTGTTGACGCATTTTGCCTTCCTCAGCGCCGAGCTGTGGCGGGCCTGCGAGGAGGGCAACCCCGAGAGGGCCCAGACCTTGCTGACTTGCCAGTGCATGTTCATCGACCAGTTGGCGGGGGACCGCGGCTACCTCGAGGCCGCTTGGTTCCTCACGGGGCTGGAGCCTCCCCCGTGTCGCGTGACCAGTCGTCACACGGAGCGCGAGGCCCAGACCCCGTTTTCACCCCTAGTGGATCCTCGCTGGCTGTCGGCGCAGGGCGAATACATGAAGGAGCTGCAAGCATTTCGGGCGCGCCTCGACGCCGAGCGCGCCGTCGCGCTCCCCAAGCATCCACCTCATCAGCCCAAGCAGCCCAAGGTCTCAAAGCCCCCCTTCAAATCTCAGGGTGCCCCCAAGGCCCCGAAGGCGGTGCCCAAGAAGGACTGAAGATGCCCTTGGCGCCCGCCTTCTTGGAGGGGGGGCCTTCGCGTGGCCGAGGTACGCCGCCGCAGACAGTCTGCACCGACGCTGCTATGGCTGCTAGGCGTGTTTGGGCGCAGCGAGGGCGTGAGGGTAGGAATGCGCTCCTCCAGCGATGCTGTTGCGGCCCCGCAGGGAGGAGTACGTTCCGCCACCACGCCCCTCGCTCTGCTCCGAACCGCCCCTCGGATCCATTCGGCCATTTTGGCCGTCACCTGCCTCAGTCGAGCGCTCCCCCCATGGGGCCTGCAGCCCCTGAGGTTGGTGTTCTTGCTGGTGCTTGTTCTCCTTCAAGCACCCCTGCTGCTCTTGCCAACGTCGCGCCATTTGTCGCTGACTTGTCTGCCTTGCTGCGCCTGTTTCCAGGTGCGAACATTGATATCACCCACTGGGCGGCAGCGCTGTCCCAGGTTGGGATGGGTGCTCGATGTTCTCTTGGATCTTTCCCCCGCTCATCTATGCGTGCAATGACCCGACCTTTTGGGGCCGCCTCCCCGCGATCCTTGGCCGTGCCCGCCTGCTCCACCTCTTGGTCCCCCGCCTGACGGCTTGTCGGCGAGGCGCAGGGGGCGCTGGAGATTGCGGCGCGCGGCGCGGACGCTCGCGCAGTATTCTGTTATTGCGTTGAACTGGCTCACTTTGGGTCATCCTAGCCTCGCCCCCGCCGAGGCTCGCGTCCGTGCCACGGTCTCGCCCTGCCAGGAGGGCGTCCGCACCCGTATCGAACGGTTGTGTCGGATCGCAGTTCGCCTCGCCCGTGGTGGCAAGAGCGACTTAGGTCGAGCCTTCGCCAAGTTCGACTCTACTGAGGTCTCGCTCCATGGCCTGGCCACCCATGTTGCAGCTTTGGAGGCCTCCTTCACCTCCTCTTCTTCCGTGCCCGCCCCCATGCGGCACTGCCCGACCAGCGCTCCTTCCGTGCCTGGTTCGCTGGCGTCTGCGGCGGCTTGGGACTCCACCCAGGTCGAGCCCTTCGATTTAAAAGTCAGGGCGTCTCGCATTAAGTGGGATTATTCGCCAGTGTTTGATCCCATTCCATTTCTCTCTGACGCTCGAGTCCGCGAAGCGTTCATCAATCCAGAGGAGATGCGGCTCCCGGCGTCAGAGTGGCCTGCTGGCCAAAAGGGGGCGCGTGTCCATATGGACCGCGCCGAGCTGTGGGCCCTGCTCCAGAAGTGGGATGCCTGCGGCGCCC